TCGTGTCTTACATAGAGGAAAGAGAAAGGCCCAGCCGGGGCCAGCTCTCGGTCCCCGTGCGGTCGGCTCCCCCGCGGGCCCAGCCGGGGCCAGCTCTCGGTCCCCGTGCGGTCGGCTCCCCCAGTTCCTTGGGCTGCTGTGGCCCAGCGTGGCCGGGGGCCTCAGACGAGGCCTCCTGAGTCTTCGAACACAAGGGGCTCGGTCTGGGTGTCTGGCCCCGAGCGCTGGCTCAGTCCCGCCAGTGGGACCTTGTTCCACGTCGGCCCCTCGAGACCAGCCCTGTGACCCCATCCACCGCTCTACCTCCATCTCCCAGACGACCACCAGGGTCTTGTGGGCTGGTCAAGACCACATGCCCAGCGCGGCCTGACACGGGAGGTCACAGCAAAGGACGAAGAACGGTGGAGCGGACGGACCCGCCCCTGAAGCCGACGGCCCGGCCTCTGACCACCCGAAAAGCAGTGCGGCAGGTGCACCCTCGGGGCCAAGCTGGAGAGAGGGGCCCCCACGGGGCTCCCCTTGAACCACGCCGGAGCGCCCCCTTCGCAAAAACCCAGACGCCAGGCTCACAGCAGAGGCTGCACCCCAGCCTGGACGGCTCTGGCAGGCAACCGACCTGGGTCCCTGCGGAGGCCGAGAGGCACAGAGCCTCTGCGGGGGGCCCGAGCCGGGCAGGCGCGCGCTCACCTGGGAGAAGATGAGCACCCGGTGACCCCCGTCCCGCAGCTTCTTGAGCATCTTCTGCAGCAGCATCAGCTTCCCCGACGACTTGACCAGGGAGCCGCCGTCGTAGGAGCCGTTGGGCAGGACGGGCGCCTCCTGCAGGCACAGCCGAGGGGGGCATGGGGTACCCTGTCGTCACGGGCTGCGCGCCCCGGGACAGACCAAGGCCAGGAACTGGCTGAGCGCCAAGCCCAAGCCAGCCAGGCTCAGGCCTGCACCCGGCCTCGCCTCCCGGGTCAGTGCCACCGGGCCCCGGGACCCCAGTCTCAGCCCTGGGACCCCAGTCACAGCCCCCGGACCCCCGTCACAGTCCACGGAACCCTGTCACAGCCACCCAGACCCCGTCACAGCCCCAGGACCCCAGTCACAGCTCCCCTTG